TTTCCCTTCTCTCAGGGCTTCTGTGAAGGTAAAACCATTCCAGATTGTGGTGTTCAACCACAACAGTAATGGGGGCACTAAACAGACTGGTATCAATGCTGTGTGGAATGAAAGACATTCATTGACTAGACAGAAAGCAGAAATTGACTTCTGGAAAACTAAATGGAGTGTAACAGTTTTGGTTTTTTTTCTTTACCGTAGCCCGTAGGAAGCAGAAGTGGTCTGTGGATCCCAGAAACAGTGCCTGGAGCCAAGATGATTCCAAATTTGGTCAGAAGATGTTGGAAAAAATGGGATGGTCTAAAGGAAAGGTATGGCCTAAATACCTTGGTCTAAAGGGAAGGTAGGCAAAATGCGGCCCGCGGGCTGTATCTGGCCCACCAGTTGATCCTATCCAAAGTCAGGAGCCTGAGGAGGGAGGGCTGTGCCCTGCACCGCTCCACTCCACTCTGCCGCAGCCAGGGCTGGGCCAGGCCGTAGCAGCGCAGACTTCTCCACCTCCTGTATCCACCTCCCCAACCCGGGTTCCTGCTTGCAGAGTGCAGTCCTGGCACCCTGGCCGCCAGCAGCCAGTCCTACACAGGATGGGGCATGATGCAGCACACCAAGTAGCTGTTCTGCTCACTCGCCGTGATGAGTACCTGTTGCCATGGCCCTAGTTGAGTCCAAGGTGAGGGGTGGCTTGGCCTGGGGCAGCCACCCCCAACTTTCCTGGTGTGGCATGACACCAGCAGCTTATCCCATCAGGTGGGCAGGATGGCTGTTCGGCACGCTGCATTGCACCCTGTCCTGTGCAGGCCCAGCTGCCAGGACTGTGCAGCACCAACAGGAAGCTGCGGGGTGGATGCTGGGGGGTGGAGGAGTCTGCACTGTATGGCCTAGCCCTGGCAGAGTGGAGTGGTGCGGGGCACAGCCCTCCCTCCTTGGGCTCCCAGTGGCCCAGAGGGTCAAATAGGTTCAGTTGGCATCTCCCCGCCCTGCTCTGGTCCTCAACAGCTCACCAGAACTCATTAAGTGACCCTCCAGCCCAAATAATTGCCTACCATGGTGTAAATGGAAGATAGTGCTAGCAGAAAAAGCAGACTCTCAAGTGTTGTGGATTTAGAAGCACTTGCAGCGACATTATGCTTGAGAGCACTGGGTACCAGAACTGCGGGCAGCTCTTGGTCCTGGTGTTTATAGGGCTGGGTCCTTGTTATTAGGTACTTTTGTTACCCCACCACTTAGTGACTTCCACATTTCTTGCGCTTCCTCCCTTTCTTTTCTTCTCTTCTGCTGTCGCACGGGTAAGACAGTGACACAGATAAGAGCCAAAGTAGGTAACGCTCAGGTGTGGTTTGTTGTACCTCCTATATTCTGGCTCTGGCCTTTATTGTGAGAGAAAGCAGCACCAGAAAGCTGTTTTAGTTTCTCACAGCTTTTAATGCCTTTATCTCCCAGATTAGTTTGGGTGTCGTGTCTAGCTATATCCTTTCCTCTCTCCAGCCCACTGCTGTGGAGGGTTATAAAAGGAGGCCTGTAACCTCATGATGCTAGAAAAATTCTCCTCTGGTCAACAAAGAGAGCTCTGTTGCCTCTTTCCATTGGCGGGGAGGGGTGGGGGGCTGCTACAAAGGGGCCTGCTCAGAGCCCAGAGCTGTCATCTCCATCTCTTCAGCATTTCCTGGTGCTTGGTTATGTGAGCAAGCACAGTGACAGAGAATGGTCTGGGTTCTTGTTTTTTAAAGTATATCTCAGGCTAGTCATTTCTCTTCTTTCATTTAGAAACAAGGAGTAATCGTTGCAGCATTCTTGAGCTTAGGATATTTGCAGAACTCAAGCTGAATTCCTTGAATAACTATCCCTTGACTTGAAAAAGTCTGTTTAAAAAAAAAAAAGAAATGTAGCTGATGACTTTTTAACTGCTTCTGATGTTGTATCTAGTTCGTTGCAGGATCAGAATTGCCCACACGCAGTGGCATGTAGGGTAGTGGTTCCTAGTCTTTCCAGCCTCTTGACTTTGCTTCCCACTGACTCGCAAGACCAGTTGGGCTGTGACTTCTACGGTTGGATCCCTGACCCCGTTTGGAAGTGCTTGAGACTCTGCTTTGGGAACTGCTGATGTTGAGTTAGATCCAAGGGCCGCTGGTGCCAATGAGCCTTTCCTTTGGCTTCGGTAGGCTTTGGATTCTCAGCCCTTAGATTGCTAATTAATGAACATCTTGATCTGGAAGCACAAACGCACTCTTCGTAGCTCTTCTTGTGTCATGTAAAAATAGCTCTGATGGTCATAGGATTCAAAACACAAGATGAAAGGATGCTTTCAGATGTTTGATTGCCCCATAGATGAAATCACATTGGCAGTAAATGTATCTATGACAGCAGCTGCGTTTTTACCATTATAGGTGGGTGATTTTTTTTCCTGCTATATTTCCTCAGCATTGCTGTAGGACCTTCCTGTCCTACACTCCCACAAGAACTGGGGTGGCGGGGCAGCATTTACAGCACAGACCCAATATATAGCATAAATGGGACCAGGGCTGAGCTGAGTCAATGGGCTTAAGTCCATTTGCGCTGCAAACTGGAGCTGCGTACGCCTGTCTCTTCAATTCTCCTCGTTAGCATTGAGTTAGAATTGGGACAGGATGAATGTGTAGCTAGGTCTCCTGCCTGCGGTCATGTGGGTGTGACAATAGACCTTGCTGTCCGGCAGGAGGAGAATGCATTGGTGCCACAGTCGAGCTGGTATTATTTTTTAAACAAACTGCAGTGAGTTGCATCCTTGCTAGCAACATATTTAAATGCGGGTTGTTGCACTATATAATAAAGCATTCCCAGACTCCAACTGCAGGTCCCTTAAATACCACAATCTGACCAAGTTGCAGGGGCATGTGAATTCTCCTTATCTGTTTGGCTAGGAGAGAGTATAAGCAGGTCAGGGAATGAGGTCTTATCCCTGGTTGACACTTGAGCTAAAGCCTGATAATTAAACATAATGTGAGAGAGATTGCTTTGTTTTCGCTTACAAGTTGGACTTCTTATTTTGTTTTTCCTGGTCTTTGTTAGCTAACCACCACCCAGGCAGTGACTGCATTTCTGTGGTGAGAGAGACACTGTGGCCAGTTGTCTCCTGTCTTTAAAGTTACAGAGCATCCCCTGGAAATGTCAGGTGGCCTTTTGATTAATCATTAACTCCTAATAATGATGCTGTTTTGTTGTTGCTTGTATTTTTTGGACGCTTAAACCATAAATGAAAAATACACGATACTTTGACAGTGTACTAAAGCCTTTGCATTAAATTGCAGCAAAGCAAACACTAGCAATGAAGTGGTGTTTCCAGCTATATTACTGAACAGTTTTTTTGCTCCACATGGTACTGATCTACAGTGTTAATTCTACATTTGAAAACTGCTTACGGTTTGCTTTAAATTCTTATTAGGGTCTTGGGGCTCAGGAACAAGGAAGCACAGAACATATCAAGGTTCAAGTGAAAAACAACACACTTGGGTTGGGAGCTGCCATCAGTTATGAGGTAAGTATAAGTTAACATCATTGTTGGTCCAGGTAAACAAGAAAGTCCTGCACTTAAGATGGAACAATCCCATGCACCGCTACAGGCTTGGGACCAACTGGCTAAGCAGCAGCTCTGCAGAAAAGGCCCTGGGGGAGTCAGTAGACAGTGAGAGAGATATGAACCAACAGTGTGCCCTTGTTGCCAAGAAGACTAACAGCATACTGGGCTGCATTGGTAGAGATGGTGCAGGCAGATGGAAGGAAGTAGTTTTCCCCCTCTAATCTGCACTGGAGAGGCCACGTCTGGAGTCCTGTGTCCAGTTTTGGGACCCCCACTACAGAAAGGAAGTGGACAAGTTGGAAAGAGTCCAGCGGAGGGCAGCAAAAATGGTTCAGGGGCTGGGGGACATGACTTGTGAAGACTGGCTAAGGGAACTGGGCTTATTTGGTGTGGAGAAGAGAAGACTGAGGCGGGATTTGATAGCAGCCTTCAGCTCTCTGAAGGGTGATTCCAAAGAGGATGGGGCTGGACTGTTCTCAGTGGTGACAGATGACAGAACAAGGCTCAAGCTGCAGCCAAGGAAGTTTAGGTTGGATTATAAGAAAAACTTTCTTGCTAGGAGGGTGGTGAAGCACTGGAACAGATTACCTAGAGCGGTGGTGGAGTTTCCATCTGTGGAGGTTTTTGAGGCCTGGGTGGACAAAGCCTTGGCTGGGATGATGTGGTTGGGATGGTCCTGCTTTTAGCAGGGGATTGGACTAGATGTGACCTCCTGAGGTCCTGTCAACCCTCATTTTCTATGATTCTAAGCAGGTGTGACTCCTAACTGAGATGTTTGAGAGACCCTGTAGGTAGCATGAAGTTAGTGGGATTTGTAATCATTCTTATTACTGTCTGATGCAGAAGGGATACATTGCATAAATTCAGGCTCAGACCAGATGTTTTCTGATGGGCTTTCCTGAGGTGGGCATGAGTTAAGGGAGGTACAGTGAGTTATAGTGACTAGGTTACTCAATGCGGTCCCTTCCAACACAGACCTGAAACATTTTTCTGGCTGGTAGCTATCCCTTTGTCCCCTGTCCTCGTGCTTCCTGCCCCTATTCCTGAAACAGTCTTCATCTCCCATTGTTTTTTGGGGGTTTTAAGGACCCTGCAGGATTGGGCTCCAAAGATGCTCTCTCTGAGTCAACATCTTAAATGAGCTCATACCTTCTCATCTTTCATGCTGCAGGAAAGTCGTGTTAGCATTTCCTGCCTGCAGCTGAGAGCAGCTTGCCCAACCTAGGGCACGCAGAGCCAACAACAGCTGAGTATTGTTTGAAGACATTCGAACACCATTCTTATCAGTCAGGCACTTTGGACTGAACTTAGCCAGCAGCTGTCAGGCTTTCCACTCAGGGAATTCTCTGGGTTTCCCCTTGCTAAATGGTCCTGTATCTGGAACTCCTTTGCTATAGTTAACTCTGGTTGTATGGAGTCTCAAGGTGCGCAGCCAGACTTTGCTGTAGTTTTTGGTAGGATAAAAGCTCTTGCTTTGCATTCACTTGGGTGCTGTTTACAGGACAACTGGATTGCTCATCAGGATGACTTCAACCAGCTTCTGGCTGAGCTGAATAGTTCCTACGGGCAAGGTGAAACAGGTATGTTAATACTTTGCTGTTCTGAGACTTGCCACTCTTTCTGTGCCTTAAAAAATAGCTTGGGGCCCAGTCTGCCTGGCTGATCATCTCTTCTTTCATGATACTGATGCCTCTTCATACCTATTAAGATTGATGGTAGTAGAGGGGCTTTATGTCATAGGGCCAAGCTTTAGCTTACTTTTCAAGTGGCTGTGGGGAATGACATCTGTTGCTATAGACTTTGGTGCATTTTGGATCGGGCCCTTCTAGCAAAGAATGGCTCTTCACTAGACGTGGGAGCCTGGAGTTGCTCTTCTGGGATGTCAGGAGCAGCAGTCATCTACTTCAGTATTTCTCAGCCCATGGGTTGTGACCCAAAAGTGGGTTGCAAGAATATATGAAAGAGTCATGAAGAAACTTAAAAAATGAATGCTCCTTTAAAGGAGAAAAATGGAGGAAACCATCGGCTTTCCTTTGTGGGCTGTCAGAGTTCCTGCCTGCAAGGGGCTGCTTGGGCCTGGGGAGAGCAGGAGGAGGGTGATCAGGCAGGGGCTTCCAGGTGCATATGCACGCACACACGTGCACATGGCAGCCAGGCAGTGTGGAAAGTTCCTGCAGCTCCCCACAAGTAAGTCTGTAGGGCGGGGGGGTATAGGTGATGCACTGAGGGAGCTAGGGGGGCATAGGCGATGTGTCGAGGGAGCAAGGGGGGCATGGGCAATGCATCAAGGGGGGGCACATGTCCCCCCCAACAGATTTGTGCACCCACGGCGGGCACGGGGCTGCAGCCTGACCAGATTGACATGTGCAGGAGCTGCCTCTGCAGCCCAGTAGGTAGGACCCTGCTGCCACCGCTGTGATCCCTGTGCCAGCTGCACCATCAGCAACACAAGAAGTAATGGACTAGAAGGGAAGGCGGTGCACTGCCTTTACTTTCTCCCACTGCCAGTTGTTCGCCCTATACCCTGCTGCCATGGCCCAGCCTCTGCTGTTGCTTCCCTCAGGCTGCAGCTCTACCCCAGAGGGGATGTGTGGTGGTGGGCAGCATGGGTAGCGTAAGGGGACCACCAGACTGGGCCATGGCAGCGAAGTAGAGCCACAGCCCAGCGCACAAGCAGCCGGCAGCGGGAGGAGGTGAGGGCAGTGCAGCCCGCCCCGCACCGTCTGTTACTCCTCTCGCTGCTGGTGGCTCAGCTGGCGCGGGGGTCCCAGCAGTAATGACAGCAATGAGTCTCGCTACACCATTCTGCCCTCCTGTGCTGGGTCCTCGCAGAGGTGGCTTCTGCCTGTGCCGGTCCAGCCAGGCTGCAGCCCCAGGCCTGCTCCTGCTGTCCTGCTGTGGGTGCACAAATTGTGGGGGGCGGGCACGTGCCCCCCCATGCCTCACCCACTGACCCCCTGGAGGCAGTGAGTCAGGAGTGAGGGACACCAGCAGGGCTGAGGGGGTGGGAGGCTGGGGGTTTCGGAGTGAGGGGCACCAGTAGGGCCAGGGGGCTGTTTTCTACTTAAATATTTACTGGGTCAAGACTGGCCATCAGTGTTTACAAATGGGGTCCCGGTACAGAAAAGGTTGAGAACCATGGATCTACTTGAAAAGCCTGAGCCAGTTCAGAGCCTCACAACAGAAACATTCTCCATTGCCATGTTTTTATCTCTGTCCGTCCACTTTGCTTGCTAGTGAAGACTCACGTCTGACTTTTAAACGATGGCAGTTCCTTTCAGCTTTCATTTTTCCCACACCTGAGGAGCTGTTGCTTGAGTGAGCTAGAGTCAAAATCTACCTGTGTTTCAAATGTTTTGGTGAATTCAATTCAGCTAGGGAGCTGACACACACATGGGAGCAGGAAATGTGGCAAACGCTTCCAAAAGCAGCTACTTTTAAAGTCTTTTAACCAAATTTTTAGCTTGGTTTATGTATGATTTTGCACCAGTTTCAATAGGGTGGCACTAAACATGTAAGCAAGTGTTAACCAGTGGGGGACCAACGTTTCAGGCAGGTGTGCCATGAATTCGCCTCACACCCTCTCTGAGTGCCACACTGATCCCCTTCCCCTTCCTCTTCTGCTGCTGTGCTTTCTGTTCCTTGTCCTGTGCCCCTTACCTCTCTGCTTTCTGCTTCCTGCCCTGTCTGCCACATTGGCAGCTAGATGGGTGCTGTTTTTTTCTATAGGCATGCCCTTAGGTTTTAATCTTGCAATTTATAGGGCCCAGGTGGAGCATCGTGAAGTCCGTGAGGTTCTGCCTAGTACTACAGTTTGTCCACGTGCTGCTAGGTGGAGAATGGAGACCATAGTGTGGTTAGCAACTTTTGTTCGGCATAATAAGGGCTAATTGTAAACATATGACAGCAGAAGGATTTGGCAGGGAGTTAAAAGAAAGATCAAAATGAGTCGATAGAGAAGCTACAGCTGCTCTTTTAATTAGCCGGAAACCTGCAGAGCTGCTCCTGAAGCTAAAGAACTGGCTCTTTTCAAGAGTTGTATTATTGCAGTGCCTAGGAGCTGTAGACAGGGACCAGGACACCATCGGGCTGGAGGTAGTAGGGGGGTGCCTGATGACGTTAGTGAAAGCTAGTAGGAAGTTCAAAGGTCACAGTCACCTAAATAACCTTAAGAATCTTGCCCCCGTATCTTATCTGAGGTACAGGAAGATGTGTTAGTTGTAACATGTGAGAAGACATTTGTGATCTGTCCAAGAAGTCCTCCGCTAAGTGTTTCAGAGGTGCACCCTTATTGCTGTTTCTGGTTTTACCGGTGTGGGACTGGAAAAGCAGCAAGGAGAAATGTCTTTCCAGGGATGCAGTGAGTCAGAGCAGAGGTGGGATTGCTGAGCAGAGCTCTCCGAGTTCTGTGCTATATATATCCCCTTGGATCACCGTGACCTCTGCAAAGCGGCCACAGGAACCATCTTCTGATCAAAGCTGCATTGCTCTGACTGTGACGGTGAAAGGGACAGCTTTGCTTTTTGTCTCTCCCAATGGCTGGGAGCAGCTTCAAAGATAAGCTGGTCATAAAGTCAGATGCTGCAATAAGAGCTGAGTCTGGCAAGGTGGTCGACCCCAGCGGACTTCCTGCCTATGGCGGGAGGGCTGGACTCAATGATGTTGTGAGGTCCCTTCCAGCCCCTAATGTCTATGAAATCTATAAAACTGTCAGCGAGATTTGCTATCTTTTATCCTGCAGACAGTCAGGCCAGAGCAGCACCTCTGAAACTGCTTTTTGGGCAACTGAGGCCCCGGGCAGATGTTACACTTAAGATGTGATTAACCAGTAAATCATGTCTTAATTGTTACCTGGCCACACGTGATGAAACAAGGAATAAATAAGCCACAAAGTTATTACGCAAAGAAATGTAATTGAACATGGGGCCAGGTTGGGGGTCCTAGCCACAGGGTGTGCTCCCCAGGAGCCCTGTTAGCTGTGGGAACTTGCTGCTTGCTGGTGCAGGGGGAGCCTGGGATCGTGATGCCGGGCTCCCCCTGCACTAGCAATAAGGCATGATGGGGTCTGATGTTTGATCCCACCATCAGGCCCCTTGCCATGCACATGTGGTATAGTGAGAAGTGCGCTTGTGGGGATCACGCATCAGATTCCATCACACATTTACTTGCATGTCTGCCTAGCGCTTACGCGTGCTGGCTCTTCAGCTGCTGAATTGCATTGAAAGACACACAAAATACCCCTTAGAATTACCAGAGCTGGTAAGTGAGACAGTATTAAGCTATGATCCTACGTTTTGAAAACCCTGGATCTAAATAGGTTCACCTGCTCATCCTCAGAGTCTCTGAGCAGCTGGGAATTTGGTTGTATAAAATGGGGAGACAGCTTTTCCGCAGCACTTTTAAAGCAGATCCCAAAGCACTTCATAAAAGGAGTCGCCATCTAAAGATCATTACTACTTTTAAGTGAATATTCCTGCAGCATTTGCCTAACTCTGATATTGGGGGTTGACAAGCCTTGGAGTAGGTGACAGCACACCTCTCCGTTGAAAGCTCCATCTGCAGAATTCCTTGTGTCGGATACTAGGCAGACCAGGATCTTTGGGTCAATCTGATATCTTTTATTAGACAAACTCAAATAGTTGTGTCGGATACTGAAGTTCCACCGTAAAGCCACAAGAGGGTACTTGTGTCACTTGCTGAAAGTTTGAAGCTGGGTTTGAAGCCCTGGGTGACAATTCCTCCTGTGGTCCCTTCAGTATTGTATATGAATGGTGTTGACTGCCATAGAATCAAAAGTGGTAGGTCCTTGGTGAGAGTGTCTTTATTGTGATTCCCACTTTCTACCCAAAACCTGCCTTTGCAGGCATTCAGTTTAACTGTACATTTTTTTCTAAAACTGGATTTGCTAACCTGGAGTACTGGACCTTCACCAATTACAAATGTAAAGCTTAAATGCAAGGACTGAGTGGGTCAGGGATTGATAATGGGTTACTCAGCCCTTTCTCTGTAGGTTGCAGGCTCAGCTCATAGTTGGTTGGGTCGGAAGGGACCTGAGCAGATCATCAAGTCCGACCCCCTGCCGTGGCAGGAAAGAGTACTGGAGTCAAACGACCCCAGCAAGGTGTTCATCCAGCCTCCTCTTAAAGACCCCCAGAGTAGGAGCCAGCACCACTTCTCTTGGAAGTTGGTTCCAGATCCTAGCCGCCCTGACAGTGAAGTAGCGCCTCTTGATGTTTAGCCTGGATCTACCCTCTGCCAGCTTGTGACCGTTATTTCTAGTCACTCCTGGTAGCACTTGGGGGAACAGGGACTCCCCCAATGCCTGCTGGTCCCCCCTGACTAGCTTGTAAATGGCCACCAGGTCCCCCCTTAGCCTTCTCTTCTGGAGGCTGAACAGGTTCAGGTCCCGTAGCCTCTCCTCGTAGGGGAGTGCGGTGCCCAGAACTGGATGCAGTACTCCAACTGCGGCCTGACCAGTGTGGCATAGAGGGGGAAGATCTCCTTGGACCTGCTCGAGATGCATCTGTGGATGCATGAAAGGGTATGGTTGGCCTTCCTGACCACGTCCCGACATTGGTGGCCCATGTTCATCTTGGAGCCTATAATGACTCCAAGATCCTTTTCCACCTCTGTGCTGATAAGAAGGGAGTTCCCCAGCCTGTAGGTCTGCTGCTGGTTCTTCCTCCCCAGGTGCAGCACCTTGCACTTGTCAGTGTTGAAACCCATCCTATTCACATCCGCCCACCCCTGTAACCTGTCCAGGTCTAATTGTAGCCTGTCCCTCCCTTCTATTGTACCCACTTCTCCCCACTTCTTAGTGTCATCCGTGAACTTGAACAAGGTGCTTTTCACTCCCTCATCGAAGTCACCAATAAAGATGTTGAACAGTGCGGGCCTGAGCCCTGGGGGACCCCACTGCCCATGTAACTCCAAGTCAAAAAAGGCCCTCCAGCTAATTTGCGACCCATCTGACTGTGTAGGCATCGACACTACAGACTCCTAGTTTTTTAATGAGAATGGGGTGAGAGACAGTGTCAAAGGCCTTCCTAAAGTCCAGAAGGTCGACGTCCACCACGACACCTGCGTCTAAGGCTTTTGTGACCTGGTCGTAGAAGGCCACCAGGTTGGTCTGACAGGACCTGCCCCTAATGAACCCGTGTTGGTTGCCCCTGAGCATAATCTCCCCTGCTGGCCCCTCACCTCCTTGGACCTGCTTGAGATGCATCTGCGGATGCATGACAAGGTGCGGTTGGCCTTCCTGACCACGTCCTCACACTGTCGGCCCATGTTCATTTTGGAATCAATAATAACTCCAAGATCCTTTTCTGTCTCTGCACTGACAAGAAGGGAGTCCCCCAGCCTGTAGGTCTGCTGCTGGTTCTTCCTCCCCAGGTGCAGCACCTTGTCCTTGTCAGTGTTGAACCCCATCCTGTTCTCATCCGCCCACCCCTGGAACCTGTCCAGATCCACTTGCAGCCTATTCCTCCCTGCTAGCATGCCCCCTTCCCCCCACATCTTAGTGTTGTCTGCAAATTTGAACAGGGTGCTCCAGCTCAGATTATTTTAACTTGCTAGCTCTCCAAGCCGGTGAAGGGTAACAGTTCCCATGAGGCTATAACTTTGGTTTGCAGAGCCTTGATTATATGGGAGGGTGTATGAGGCGGCATGATGCCCAGGCTGAGTTTGCAAGGGGTGGCAGTGAAGGAGGGAAAGGAAAGTTATAACTGAACAGGTTTGACCTGGATTCAAGATAATAAGCACAATCCCCTGATGCCAGTTCCACTCGCTCGTCAGGGCAGCACTGTTACTGACAACAGTTTCTGTAGATCAGAAGTCCTAGTTTTAAAAATCCCATCTTGGGTCCTTTTTCCTGTGGGCCCAAGCAGTAGTAACCCATGTCTGTTGATTGCTGCTGCTAACTACCCCGTAGGTATCAGGTAGCAATGCACATCATGGTTGCAAAGCAAGCTTGTCTGTTGGCAGTTTTCCACGATGATCCTGTCACCATTGTTGTTTATTGCAGTAGCTGTGTGTTGTGGAAACACACGACAATCGGGGTCTCGCCTTGTTCTGCAAATTGTTGTGTAAATGTTGTGTGCAGCACCAAGTGCAACGTCCCCCCAACCTGGTTAGCCTGCAGGAACTGTCAGAATGCAAATATTTAATAAGACCCTCTTCCTGCCAGAGAGAACTGGCCAGTGTTACTTGAAAAAGATGCAATAATTGAGTGTAATCAATAATAGATGGAAAGCGGGGAAGGAAGGTCTTTAGTGGTAATAAGATTGGGCCATACTGTGCTTCACATATTAGTCCTATATTTCAGCAATGTAGGATGACTTGGGCTCGACTTGGGAAATGACATCCAGGGATGGGGTTCAGTGGTGAGCTGTCCTCTAACACAAATGTAACCTTTGTCTTCTAGAGTCGCCAGCCAACGAACCAAAGAAAACATTTAGCCTTGAGGAGAAGAGTAAATCCTCCAGGAAACGTGTTCATTATATGAAATTTGCAAAAGGTAAGAGGAACTTAGCTGTTCTTTCGTGAACCACACTCAGGGTTGTAAAATGTATGTGCTAGGATGACAGATTACCCTCAGAGACTTAACATATGGCAACTGAACAGGAAGGGAAGAGTATCCCTGGGGCCACCTGCTTTAAGCTGTAATACAGACTTCACTTTTTTGATGGCTTTATGCAGTTGTTGAATTATGTAGTCCATAGCTATGGGAAGCTGCTATTTACTGAAGGAGGGTAAATATGCTGAATGATACTAAAAAGGAATGCGAAGATGATAATTAAAAGCTGCTGCTTAGGCGTCTGTACTGTTATATCCTCTGCAATCTCCAGTGACCTCCGAAGAGATCATGAGGATAAGATCATTGATATGATTAAGCAGTGAGAGGAAAGCCCTGTTATGTTGATCAGATATTCTTTCCTCTGGGAGCTGATGTCCTCATTCACCCAAATAATTAAATTTCAGCTCCTGAACTTTCTCCCTTTTTGCAGAGTGAAAGCTGCATCCTTCAGTCATCCTGATGCCTCCTCCTTTTGGCTCTTTCTCTAGCAGCAGTCCTATTCCACCATCAATTCTGTTTTCCTGTATATCGGCAAAAATTGGGGGGTGGGGAGGGGGCAGGATCAGTTTCATAATATTTTCCACGAACGGCTGCATTGTTAAGACAGAAAGCTCTGAGTAATGTTGTTTTCCTGATAACAGATGCATCACGTAAAACAGTGGCAGTTGACTTCTGAATGGGGGACATATTCCAGTGTTAATTCTGATGGAATAAATGGGCTCAAAGTCAGAGGTGTTAACATGACCTTTGTCACTGCCCAACATAAAACAGTAGATGCTTAGTTCTATGGCAACTAAAAAAAAACTGTACTGGTCATTTAACCTTCTACCAAAGACAGAGAAAGAAAGGAAAATCATTTAAATACTGAATCAGAGAAAATTAGGGTTGGAGGAGACCTCCAAAGGTCATCTAATCCAACCCCCTGCACAAATAGGACCAGCCCCAACTAGATAATCCCAGGTAGGGCTTTGTCGAGTTGGCCCTTAATCTCCAAGGATGGAGATTTCACAACCTCTCTGCCCGTTCCAATGCTTCACCACCCTCCTAGTGAGACAGTTTTTCCTAATATCCAACCTCAACTTCCCTTGCTGCAACTTGAGCCCATTGCTCCTTGTTCTGTCATCTGCCCCCACTGAGAACAGCCCAGCTCCATCCTCTTTGCAACCCCCTGCAGGGAGGTGAAGGCTGCTATTCAATCCCCCTCAGTCTTCTCTTCTCCAGACTAAATGGGCCCAGTTCCCTCAGCCTCTCCTTACAAGCCGTGTGCCCCAGCCCCCGCCCAGTCGCTTTCATTGCCCTCTTCTGGACTCTATCCAATTTGTCCACATCCTTTCTGTAGTGGAGAGCCCAAACCTGGACTCCAGATGTGGCCTCCCCAGTGCTGAATAGAGGGGAATAATCACTTCCCTGGACCTACTGGCAACGCTTCCACCAATGCATCCCAGGATGCAGTTAGCCTTCTTGGCAACAAAGGCACACTGCTGGCTCATATTCAGCTTATTGTCCACTGTCACCCCCAGGTCCTTTTCTGCAGCGCTGCCGCCCAGCCAGTCAGCCTCCAGCCTGTACTGGCGCATAGGGTTGTTCCATCCTAAGTGCAGGACTTTGCACTTGTCCTTGTTGAACTTCATGAGATTATTTAGGCCCAATCCTCCAATTTGTCTAAGGCAGTCTGAATCCTAAACCTACCCTGCAGCATATCTACTGTTCCCCCAGTTTAGCCTCATCTGCAAACTTGCTGAGGGTGCAATCAGACCCCTCTTCCAGGTTGTTAATGAAGATTTTAAATAAAACTGGCCCCAGGACTGACCCCTGCGGCACTCCACTTGATACCAGCTGCCAACTAGACATTGAGCCATTAATTACTACCTTTTGAGTCTGATGAACCAGCCAGCTTTCTGTTCACTTTACAGCCCATTCATCCAGCCCATACTTCCTCAGCTTGCTTGTGAGAATGCTGTGGGAGATGGTATCAAAAGCCTTGCTAAAGTCAAGATATATTATGTCCACTGCTTTTCCCACATCTCCAGAGCCAGTTATCTCATTATAGAAGGCAATGAGGTTGGTCAGGCATGACTTGCCCTTGGTGAGTCCATGCTGACTGTTCCTAATCACCTTCTTCTCCTCCAAGAGCTTAGAAATGGATTCTTTGAGGACCTACTCCATGATTTTTCCAGGGGTTTAATATATAAAGTATTAAGGCTTCTTTGTTAACAATGTTCACATTCCCTTCAGCTCTAAAGAATTTTTATAAGGTTCCTCCCTTGATAACCTTACAATACTATGAAAGAGGGCAATTGTTATTTTCAGGGGAAAGAGATAAAAACGAGATGGATTGAATATGTTAAAATCCAGCTGCACTTGCTTAAAGACAAAGCAAAACTACAGGCAAGAGGTTGGACTAGATCAGCGTTTCTCAGCCTGTGGGTCGGGACCCAAAAGTGGATCTCAAGAATATCTGAAAGGGTTGCAGACAAACTTTAAAAATGAATCAACAAACTTTAAAATGGACTCTCCTTTAAAGGGAAAAATGTGGGAAACAGTGGCTTTTCCCTTGCAGGCTGACAGAGCTCCAGCCTGCAAGGGGCTGCTTGGGGCCCTCCATGCCCCACAAACCCACCCCCTGCCCCACACGCTGCAGGGCTGGGGCCTGGGGTAGGGGGCAGCAAGTCAGGAGTGAAGGACACTGGGTCAGGACTGGCCCCTGATGTTTGCAAAGGGTCCTGCTACAAAAAAGGTTGAGAACAACTGGGCTAGATGATCTCTGGAGGTCCTTTCCAGCCCCACTGCTCTCTGATGCTGTGATACATCACCAGAGGAAAAAGAAAGAATGGCAGAGATGGAAGATGTAGCTTCTGTTTCTGATGCTGATTCTGACTTGTGACTTCACTGTGAGAGGATGCCAAGTCCAGCTCATGGGTTTTGACAGTCACACCTGTTTGTACCAGCATCAGGTGAGCCATTGCTGCCTCTCTGGTCAGGGCTTGCAGTGGTTTTATAAATATGGTCTTGGTTGGCTAAGCCAGATTATTAAACACAAAAACAAAGAGAGGCGACTAGAGAAGAAGACCTGAGGTGGGGAGGAAGGAAGTAACAACAGGAATATGATCTCCCTTTCCAGGTGGTGGCCATGATGAAGCAGCAAAGTGATTTGGAGCCCTCTCCATGGCTCACTGTAGACTGGGCGTCTCATAGGACAAGGGCAGTGTGGGCCTGCTGATGTTATGGATCATGGGGTCCTGGGAGATGGTGGGGATAGCAGCCAGGATGGTAAAGCTCATTTACACATTCTCTTGACTTCAGCAGCAAAGCAAGGACCCTGTAAAGGCTTGGTTATTGGAATAGCCTGTCCTTTCATTATTTTATCTGGAAGTTTAGCCTGATGATGGCACAGCAGCTTTGGTTCGTGGACTTTGGGTCTCTCTCCTGGTTGACCAGATTTGATCCCCCACGTAGCCATCAGGTTAGATCAGTATTTCTGCTCATTTGACCTATTGTGTTGTTTCTTTTATCTTTAACTGATTTGTATACCAATTTTCTTCAACAAGTTGGACAGCTGTACAGCTGGCCTCATCACAGGCTGCAGCTAAGTTCTGGTAGTATCTCAGGATGTCATGTAGCTCCTTCTTTCTTCTTCTTCTGCACTTTCTCCACTCCAACAGTATTCAACCACTGTAGCGATCAGATGGAATCAGGAGTCCTTGAAAATACTTCAGATACCTTTTATGTTAGAGCCATGTGGTATGCTCGAAGGTAGAAGTTGTGCTCCTCAGAAACAGCTTCCAGGTAAAGCCCCTCCTGAGCAGTGATGGCTTTTTCATATGCACAGCGTGTGAGACAGGATGTGAGACCCATCAAGGGCCTGTGACAACTTGAAGACACAGTTTCTCCCTGGTCTAACCCCATGTGCAGAGGGACACTGACCTTTCTTCCCTCTGAAATGGGGCAGCCTGCTTCCCCTCTGCATCCTGGTAATTGGCTATGACTGTCTCTTCCTTGCCTCCTTTGGAATGACTTTCAAACCTAAGGGAGCGCAGATAGAAGTGTTTGTGCACCTTAGCATAGCCCCCTTCCACCAGTGAGTAGTTTGTCTTCTCACCATCTGTTTCCCCACCCATTCCTCTGCACATGAGGGTATAACATCCTCCATCTCCCCAGAAACAGGTTCTCTGATCCAGCAGTTTGCTTTTTATGTTGTGCTGTGAGGATTTATGATCCTTAAGAGTAATGAATGTATTCCTTTGCTTTCTCTCAGGCAAGGATCTCTCTTCCCGCAGTGAAGAGGACCTCTCCTGTATTTTTGGGAAACGACAGAAGAGTTCGAAGACTCAGGTAAATTAGTAGGGTTAGCAACTTCTCTGTTTCCTGAACATTTTGCTTTCTAAAGAAACCACTCAACATCTCCAAGTGTGTTGCTGCACATGACATTTTCACATGCTCTTCAGGGAACACTGGGTCTTTTGTATGTACAGACACCATGTCTTCCACGTTGAAGCTGATGGTAGATGAGCAAGCTTTCAACTTCTTGGTTATAGCGTGAGTTTAGTGGATGTACAGGATCTACAGTAGATATCTCTAAAACAAGCCAGTACCAAACCTCCAGAAGGATGTATTGTTAATGTTTTCCACTTTACACGCAGTATACAGCGCTCAGGGAATCAAATGCATTTAATTTAAGTTGAAGGTTACACCGCTATTTTAAATATAACATACAGCTGTTTCAGCAGACTGTTCCTATTTTTACTACGGGTGTGATCATTTACAAATATTTAACACAAAGGGCTATTTAATGTTGCCCTGGATATGGTGACTTGAATCAACTTTTATGGCCCTGTACATAGTGACCAGTTCTGCTATTAAATACTTTCTTGGGTTTTGCTTACCTCAAGGGAGGTAGAACATGAAGTCCAAGTTAATGCTGATAGACCCACCTTGTCTTGTAGGAGTGAACTTCCACTGTACAGAGGTAGTGCTTTGTGGATCAGGGAGTGTTTGCCATGTTACTACACAAAACTACATGTGCTAGAGTAGGGGTGGTCAACCTGGGGCATGCATGCCACAAGCAGCCTTGGCAACCCCCGTTTGTGGCAGGCGGCACAGCAGCAGATAGGGCAGAAAGCAGAAAAACAGATGGGGCAGAAAGCAAAGCATCGTACCTGGCAAGCGAAGGGGACTAGAGGTGGCACTTAAGGAAGGCTTAGTGTGTGGCACACCTGCCAAAAGGTTGGCCTTCACTGTATTGGAGCAAGCCAGTGCAGAGCCTCACACAGCCTGCATTTAGATGAATCCTGAAGCTGTTCTAAGTCTTTACCAGAAGCCAGAAACATTGAACTGGGGACAGGGACGTGTTACAATATTTTTACTCTGGCAATTTTGGTAGTAGCAAATGTGTAGACCAGCAGTTCCCAATCTGTGTTACGGGGATTGTCAGTGGTATGCAGACAACCTGTCAGTGGTATGCGTTAACAGATTTATTATAATTACTTTATATGACCAAAATTTGCTGATGGTACTTAAGGTTGAACTAAAAAATTTGCTGGTCGTATCGTTTTAAGGTTGTATTGTTTTAAATTGGTGATGCACAATCGGTCAGACTGGGAGTTTGGGAGCCCCAACCTGCTGGTGTAGGATGTTCAAATCCCGACTCGAAGAAATGAGGGAAACCTTAAAAAAAAACAACCCCAAATGACAGTACGTGGTTTAAAAACCTCCATTAATGACAGGACTAAGCTTCTGGGTCGTGTCCCATGGAGATATTGTGTGTTGCTGTTTTCCAGTGTATCTAATACTTTGAAAAAGAGAGGCCTTGATTGGGAGTAGCTAGGGCAGGGGTGGGCAGTTATTTTAGGCAGAGGGCTACTTACTGAATTTCAGCAAGCTATTGAGGGCCACGTGACAGGCAGCCAGGGGCAGATATATATTAATTTTCTAAATTTTTTAGGGGCCCTGCAGGCCGGATAGAATGGCCTGGCGGGCCATATCCGGGCCGCATTTTGCCCACCCCTGAGCTAGGGGGTATCAGATCTAAGCTTCATGGGTACAACTGTGCAATTCCAAAACTATAATTAATTAAAATAATTGAGCCTAGAGACGACTTAAATTCAACCAACTGACAAGTGTCTTGTCATCAACTGTATTAATAAGCCTGTTGTTTTATAAGCCATGTCTTTTGGGCTAGATATTTTGGAAACACTCCATGAGCTGCATTATAGTTGGTCTTCATTTATTGCAGACCTGATAGGCTTTTGATCTTTGATGTATAAAGGTAGTAGCTTGTGATTTACGTCTCTGATGTGCCTTTCCCCTACCGAACAACGTGAGGGTTTGGGATTGTAGAATCAGCACGCTCTCCCTGGTATAATTCCCTCTTTGTGCCTAGATTTCTATGCGGCAATACAGACAGAGGAAGTAAGGTGACTTGGAGATGTGTTGTCTCCCTTTGGGTCCCTTTTGCAACCAGTGGTAGACCCAGCTAGTAGCGATGCAGTTCCTTCTTAAGCCTTCCTAGCTTCAAAGCAATAGCTCTCCCTTCCTTGTGGACCACAGAAATCAGTGAACTTTAGAGAGGAGCCATGTCAGAACTGTATCACATAGCCCCTCCAGCTAAGGGGCATGCATTGCTTGCCGTAGAGGTGATATTATCTAGTGCTGCCGGTGACACTACACGAAATACCAGTTTTAAATGATATTTTTCAGGTTTATGTATGTTCCATTTTGAAACCGCTGGACACTGGGCATTTCGCTGATGTGGCCAAAAGAGACCACTGCCAATGCAGGAAAGAGCTGTAATTCTCCTGGAAAGTAGTTGCTCATATCTGTTCCTGTTCAGAGATATCATAGGAAGAGTCCTGGTGTCCATCAAAGCCAGTTCACACTGTGGCCGTTCACCGTCCCCGGCCTTCTGATTATAGTTGCTTCAGCTATTGACAGCCATAATTGAATGCCGTTATCCCTGCACCGGACAAGCTGGAACAAAGCCACTTACAAGTTGGACAGCCCTGCTGTAGATAGTACTTCAGTTTCCTGGGTTCTTCAGGTGGCAGTTTTCCAAAAATATTAAATTCCTCCTTTTAAATTTAAAAGGAAAAAAAAGCCCATAACGCCCGAGGAAGTGTCTGATGGAAGTTTGACTTGAACTAAATGAGTTCTCAGCAGGGAAGACCTAGTTATAGCATCACTGTCTATCTTTTTGAAGTGAGGGGTATTTTATTACAATTCCTATTTGTTTCACAGGAGTGCCTAGAGGTCCCAGTTAAGGATTAGGACTCCACTGGGTTTAATGTTTTGCAGACATGCAGGAAAAAAAGACCATCCCTGCCCTGGTTTGGGCTTATGATCTAGCACATTAAACAGATTAGTGGGCGGATGCAACAGGGGAGTGGGGCAGAAGGAAATAGTAAAATGGGTCAGTTTTTGTACAGTAAATAGTTTTTCTTGCAGGCTTTTAGCAGTTAGCATCACTGTGTAGGAGCCATGGCAGGGGTGAACATTGATGAGAGGTTGAGGGATATGGGGTCTGGTCTTTGGATTTATTAATTTTTTCGGGGGGGGCCAGGCGTGGAGTTTTTCTTATGAATAAGGGATCCCATTCTCATGAGAGAACGCAAATATATTGGTGAGGCAAACGGATTAACTGGTGAGACATGCCAGCAATGGTGCAATGAAGGAGATAATCAGCATTGCGATGAAATGATTCATCTGATTAGTAGGGTGGGGCTAAATCATGCAGGTCCTTAAAGGTAAAGAATCTTGCATCTATGGTTGGGATGAAAGGGGAGCCCATGGAAGGCCACAGAGTTGGGTAACAGTCATAATTTTGAGCCAGGAAAATAATCTTCATTTCTATTATGGGCAGCTGCTGTCTCTCCTATAGCTGTTCCTTCCATAACGCAGTGGTAACCCTGGAGTGCTGGACACGGCGGATGCACCGTTCCTTTTCAACAGGCATTGTCTTCCTCCCTCACCATGGCTGTCAGCAAGCATTTTCCTGTTTGGATTCATGACCAATAAAGTCTCGAACAGCAGATTAGTTTGGGCCAATTTTAAAATCCAGACTGGTTTATTTTGAAGGTTAATCCGAGTCCCTATCACGGGACCTGGCATGGCCTGGGATTGCTTTGCCTAAGGGAACGTCTCATGTCATGCTACA